TCTCATGAGCATTGAATGAATACAGACAGCTTCATCACCCAAGTCATTCCAGTTCCTGAAAGCCTTCTGATGCATCAAACTTGTCTGCCTAATGCCTGCTATTAGCGGCCCCGAGAAGTCTACCCTGCATATCATTCATCACCAAGAATGACATGCAGTCCGTCAAACACGCAACATACCGACACTGTACTACACAGGGTATATCGCCGATCTTTCTGAAATCAGTCCGTGTCCAGGTTGACGGGCTCCGCCAACTCCAGCATTAGTGCCCTTACAAGTGCGCTCATGGCAGGTTTTAGCGGATTCCTCATGCTCATTTCGGCTTGCACACTACCCCAGACCACTATCTTTGGCTTTCAACGCCCAAGCAGTACTCGCAGCCCCTAGGCGAAGATCAAACTCAGGCTGCCAGCATGCGGAGATTTACAGTCTGCAAGTAGCCATGCTACTATCATAGACTGCGGACACGTCCTACAATCTTTTGCCTAGGACGGACCATGGATACAGCAAATCGCCATTGTCCCCATCTACCTTGCATCTAGGTCATGAAATACGCTCCAATGACGTGAGGGATCGAAGTTCGAACCTGATTGCCGGAAGAAAACTACCCTTTCCGAGGAGTGGATAGCAACTTCCCACCTGACGCTGTTTTCTACCGTAGAATCTCAAGCATGTTGACGTGGCCCAATTGAAGCGGCATTACGAACCAGCTCCTGAATGAAAAGTGTCCATGCGCCGAATTAACTTAGATGTAACTGCGGTCAGGATTGAGCGCATAATAATAAGGTACGAGCCTGAGCGTGCAAATGGTGCCATTACATTGAAAGATTTTCTTTTGGCAAGTACTGCTCTGATGTATCCTCTAAAAAATAAACAAATAGAGAATGATCCTAATGCAGGTACCAATCCATGGCACCACTGTGCACAGAGCCATCACTTACTGTTGCCCAGTCAAATCGTTCTTCGCTTCAGATGAGGAAGCAGAGGACGCACAAGAAGGCTTTCTTCAAAATCCCTTGTTCAAAAGACAAGGCGCAGCCAAACGATCTTTTTTGGTAAAGTCAATACCCGAACAACTCAAACGAGGAAGCTTCAGCAGCGAAGACGACGGAGCTTCCCCAATTCCATTACCTACGAACCCAATTCTATATACTTAATGCAAACAAATGGCGGTATAACTTTAATGAGAACAGTAGCGCTACCTGAACTTCGGAAGGAGCAGAGACGAACCTCAGTTCGAATGTCTCTAGCCCCTGCAGGGCAAAACCTCATGATTATTACAATAAAACTGGTAGAGCCGTTTTAGGTTAGTCACAACTCCCTCTGGCCTCAGAATATGTAAATCAATAATTATCTGCGTCAAGATCACTCCATCCGGAAACTTCTGTTCTTGGGAATCTGACGTCAGCGTCAGACCCTTCTTTAAGAGTTTGACTGGAACATGCTTCAACTAGTCACCCCCGACGAAGATGCCATGGGGCGTGATGAAGAGTTAATGGAGTCATCCTCCAACGATCCTTGGATCAAATGTCTGAACATGTTTGTGCGCGACATGCGCTATGAACAACTCGAACCACCCACTGAGATAAAAGTGATCCAGCGTATCAACATGGGAAGATGAATCTGAATCCCAAGACCATGTCTTTTATAGCCTGAAACGCACCTAGCATCATCGCCAGACAAAGAGCGACCTTATATCTCTCATCCTGCAGAAGATATAATGTCTTCGCCCTTGAATTATGAAGATATGCTTGGCCCTCATGACCCGAAGCTTGCGCCATGCACCATTCTCAACTCGTATCCGGGATGTAACAACCGTTAAACAAACAACCAATGCATGCGGGCTTTCGCTCAGGAGATCATGGAATCAATTGAGTCAGAAGTTAACAAGCTTATAGACTCACGCCGGGCCTTTTGTCTAGAACAAACGGAGGAACAAACACCCTGGACTGGCGTGCGCCCAACATCGCTTCCCAGCTTCCCATAGTAAGAATGGTAAAAAGGTCCGGATATGCACTCTCTCTC